AGCAAACACCCTCCCCATCATCCTATCCTCTCTACTATCGCCCTGACCCAATTTTTTTTCCTTCTCTACTTGGCTATGCTCAGGGCTTACTCTTCGCTCTGTGTTCAAGGATCACTGCTGGTGGGGACCAGGGGGACCATAGATCGTACAGTGAATCAAACCTGAGCGGGTTGCACATAAGGCAAGCACTTCACCGGCTATACTATGGCTCTAGATCACTTATTATTTTTTTAACCTGTTCTTGGGGAGCCCAGAACCCCTCCTGGTGACGTGTGGCCTGGTGGTGTGAAGTGGCAGCCGGGTGGGTGTCCACACAGGATCAGAGGCACTAATTAGCATCTCTTGAAGACCAGGTTTTGGCTTGAGCACTTGAACTTTCTCCCTGGCTCTGAGAGAAGAAAGATCAGCTGGGGCAAGAGACATACTCCAAGTCCCCCACAGGAAGCAGAGTGTGATGCCAGGTGGGCCGCGTGCTCCAGGCAGTTTCTCCAAGAACAGAAGCCCAGACCCTGCCTGTTCATGCTGGAAGATCAGAGAAAACGGACTCTGGTCACAAGGGATGGGCAGGAGCTGAAAGAGCTGTCAAGGTGTCTTGGATAGAAGGGTGCATGTGTGTGTGTATGTGTATGTGTATGTGTTTGTGTGTGGGGGGGGTGTGTTCAGGCAAAGGCTCAACTCTGTACTATATCTCTGGCCCCTCTGGGTATTTTTTAACTAATGACCTGCCTGTAGATCAGCTTGATGATTGACATCACCATGGCTCAAAGTCATCCCTCATTGCAATGTGTACAAAGCTTTGTTCCTTGTTGGCAGCTGAATACTATTCCACTCAGCAAACATTTGGATGTTTTGGGTTTTTTTTTTTTTGCTTTTTTTTGGGTCACACCCGGCAATGCACAAGGGTTATTCCTGGCTCTGCACTCAGGAATTACTCCTGGCGGTGCTCAGGGGACCATATGGGATGCTGGGAATCGAACCCGGGTCAGCCACGTGCAAGGCAAATGCCCTACCCACTGTGCTATCGCTCCAGCCCCCTTTTTTAAAAAAAAATTTTATTTTATATATTTTTTTTGCTTTTTGGGTCATACCCAGTGATGCACAGGGGTTATTCCTGGCTCATGCACTCGGGAATTACTCTTGGCGGTGCTTGGGGGACTGTATGGTATACTGGGAATCAAACCCGGTTCGGCTGCGTGCAATGTAAATGCCCTACCCACTGTGCTATCACTCCAGCCCCTGAACATTGTATTTGGTTTCTTGTTTGTTTGCTTTAGGCCTGGAATTTGGCTGTGGGGCCACACCTGGCAGTGCTCAGGACTTACTCTTGGCTCTGTGCTCAGGGATCACTCCTGGTGGGTCCCAAGGGGTACTGGGAATCAAACCCAGGTTGGCCACATGCAAGGCAAGAGCCCTGCCCTGTACTAACCAAGTATTGGATTGGCTTTGCTGTGCACAGGTTTGGATCTCTGCTTAGTAGAGGCTGAGCTCCGGAAGCCGCTGCAGCACCTATAGGCGTTCCTGCTTAGCACCAGCAGGCTGGGGATGGCTCAGTGTCCTTCCAATTTCAGTGTATGTGCTGCTGGGGCTGGAGCGATAGCACAGCTGACCTGGGTTCGATTCTCAGCATCCCATATGGTCCCCCGAGCACTACCAGGAGTAATTCCTGAGTGCAGAGCCAGGAGTAACCCCTGAGCATTGCAGGGTGTGACCCCCCAAAAAAGCAAAAAAAACCAAAAAAACAAAAACAGTGTATGTGCTGCTGAAGCAAGGGGAGGCTGGGGGATGGTTTAAAGCCTGGGGTATATGCTCTGCACACGCCAGCCCCCCATGGGGTCCCCCAACACCCTCCACATGCTCTGCACCTCCAGGCAGGACCCCCAAACCAAAGCAAACACAAAGGCAGCAGATGTGTCCTTGGCCTCCATCCCCCAAGCCCTGGACACACGCGGTGGCATCTGCCTTTGGGTTTAGCCAGCCCCGAAGAGGCAGCATCTCGTTGGGGTTTGGTTTCATGGGGAATGGCCCCCGCCCCCGGTGTGTCCGTATGACCAGTCCATGGCGGGCGTTATCTCTCAAGACGGTCTGTTCTGTTCTTTCGCCATGACTGAGCTGCATTCTTATCTTTGTCACTGACTTGGAAGAACCACACAGATATTATGAGCAAAAAAGCTGGTTGGGGCTGTTTGCCGGGAGCCCAGGTCTCCTCTGCAGAGGAACCTGAAGTTTGGCCCCGGGGCAGCACACCACCTGTCCTCTTGGCTTCTTCTCCTCCAGGCCCTGCCAGCAGGCCACCTCCTGCAGGCTTGTGGTCAAGCACCCTTTCCTGTCTGTCCTCCTCACCACACACAGAGAAGCTGAGGCTCGGGGTAGTACTGTAGCACTGTCCTCCCATTGTTCATTGATTTGCTCGAGCAGGCACCAGTAACATCTCCATCGTGAGACTGTGTGTGTTACTGTGTTTGGCAGATGGAATGCGTTACAGGGAGCTTGCCAGGCTTTGCCGTGCGGGCAGGATACTCTCGGTAGCTTGTCGGGCTCTCTGAGAGGGGCGGAGGAATTGAACTCGGGTCAGCCGGGTTGGCCGCGTACAAGGCAAACACCCTACCTGCTGTGCTATTGCTCGGGGTAGAAACAGAATTTTGCTCTGCCCAATGGAGCAGACAGCCAGCTCTGAGGCGTCACTCGCTCCCATGGTGCTCACGTCTGTTGGCATGCCCCGGCTGTAGAGCTCCATGCTTTTGCATGCTGGAGGTCCGGGTTCTATTCCAGGTACCACATGGACCCCCGATCATAGGGCAGCCCTGTGAGTTGGAAATAGCCCCTGACCACCACCACCACCACATGTGACCCCCAACCAAAAGTAAACAGGACCAAGAGATGTAGAATTTACACGTGGCCCACCCTGGATGCATCCCTGGTACCTCATAATGTCCTCCCCAGAGTGTAGCCAGGAATAAGCCCAGAATACCACCAGGTATGGCTGCCACCAAAATAAGTAAAAATAGGAGCTGGAGCGATAGCACAGCGGGTAGGGCGTTTGCCTTGCACGCAGCCAACCCGGGTTCGATTCCCAGCATCTCATGTGGTCCCCCGAGCACCGCCAGGAGTAATTCCTGAGTGCAGAGCCAGGAGTAACCCCTGTGATTGCCGGGTGTGACCCTGAAAGCATAAATAAATAAAAATGAAAGACAAGACCAAGCAACAGCACAGCAGGGAGGGTGCTTACTTGCACATGGCCAACCCAGGTTTGATCCCCAGCATCCCTTATGGTCTCCCCTCCTCCCCCGCCACCCTCAAGTGCCACCAGGAGTAATTCCTGAGAACAGAACTAGAAGTAACCCCTGAGCATCACAGAGTATGGCCCCCAAACAGAACAGAAAAAAAAAAAAGCTGGAGCCACCAGCCCTGGGTGATCGGAGACTGGGTTGCTCGGGCTCCCCCAGGGCACGCCCCCACCCAGTCCTGGTTGAGCCCTCTGGCCAGGCACTCCCAGCCCTGCCCGGCCCATCCCAACCCGCCCTGCCAGGAACCTTTGCCCCAGCCAGAACTAGGACCCTTCTTCTCCTCCCTTCCTCCTTGCCCGCTGGCGGTGGGCCGTAGGGTTCCAGGCTGCAGGATGGACACGCAGTGATCTGAGAGCTGTGTGGGGACCAGCGAGCCCTGGGCCCACCTCACCGGGGTCTGAGGTGCCAGGGGTGCTGCCCATTACAGACCCCTCCACCTCAGGGACCTGCAGCACGGCCCACGTCTGCCAGGTCTGCCCGAGGGGGCACCAGGCAGGGGCCCAAGGTGTCTGCTTCCTCTATCACCTAAGCACCTCCACACACACCTATGTACGAGGGGATACCATGGGGAAACAAACTGGCAGAGATCTTCGCCCCTGGGGGATCTTCTGCCTGTCCCCATGGAGCTGGCATTCTAGAGCTAAGAGAGAGAGAGACAGCATGAAAATGAAGAAAAATCCAAAATGGGGAAGCTGGTGGTAGACACCAAGGCGAAGACATAGCAGCAAACCGGGCAGGACCGCTGTGGGCCAAGGAGGGGCTGAGATTTTCAACAGTGGGGGCTCAGGACCGATCTCCCAGGAAGCAGAACCCCCAAAAGGCGGGAGGCTGGGACGAGGGAGCAGGCAGACTAGGGGTGCAGTCCAGAGATGCCCTAGGGGAAGGAGAGGAGAGGAGGGCTGGGGGGGTGGGGGGAGGCAAGGCCAGGCCAGGCCAGGTCAGCTTCCCCGGCGCCGCTCTGCGGGGGTCTAAACGGGAGGAGGCACAGCCCAGGTCTGGGGGCAGCCGGGACGTGGCATCGAAAGTTTCTTTCTGCCGCGCCTCTTTCGCCCCTGGGGTCATTAAGGAGGATCCCGGCGCTGACTCGCGGCTCCTCCGAGGGAAGATGCAAACAAGGAAACTGGCTGGGGAAGAAAGAGAAGGGTGGGGGCTCCCCAAGGAGGAGGAAGGGTGCGGGGAGCAGTCCAGCTAAAAGGATCCGGGGGCGCTCAGACGTCCAGGGCCGCGCCCGCCCCCCGCGGGCCGGATCGGGCCGGGATCTGGCTGGATCCGCAGGGACGCGGAGCAGGTGCGCGGCCCGGCGCTCGCGGAAACGGCCCCGGCCACGCCCCCGAGCCCAGCGGCGTCCGGGCGCCCGGCGAGCAGCGGGCAGCGGGCAGCGGGCAGCGCCCCTCCGCGCGCCGCGGGTGTCTCCCACCCGCACCCCATCCCCCGGCCCGCCGGGGAGGTGCGCCGTCCCGGGCGTGCGGACGCGGGGCGGAGGCGAGGGCCTGGCTCGCCCTCTCGGCGCCCCCACCCCACACCCAGCCCGAGCCGTTGCGCCACTCCTGGCCAAGTCCGGCCTCTCCGGGCGCCCGAAGGTGGGAAAAGGGGCCACGTCACTGTCCCCGGGCCCGGCGGAGCTGGGCTCCGCCCCCCGCCCCTGCGGGCGCGCGGGGCCGGACTAGGGCTCACCGGGCCCTGCACAGGGCCAGCGCAGTCGCCGCCGCGCGCCCGCCCGCACAGCCACAGGCAGGTGCCGGGGCCGCCGAGCCGTCAGCGCGCGCCGTCCCGTGCGGCCTCTCCGTGGGCGCGTCCCGCTCCCGCCCCGGCCCGCCGTCGTCCCCCTTCCCCGCCGTCCGTCGAGCCGCCGGCCGGAGCCGGCTCGGGCGCCGCAGCCATGTCCATGGGCCTGGAGATCACGGGCACCTCGCTAGCCGTGCTGGGCTGGCTGGGCACGATCGTGTGCTGCGCGCTGCCCATGTGGCGCGTGTCGGCCTTCATCGGCAGCAGCATCATCACGGCGCAGACCATCTGGGAGGGCCTGTGGATGAACTGCGTGGTGCAGAGCACCGGGCAGATGCAGTGCAAGGTGTACGACTCGCTGCTGGCGCTGCCGCAGGACCTGCAGGCGGCCCGCGCGCTGCTGGTGGTGGCCATCCTGCTGGCCGCCTTCGGGCTCCTCGTGGCGCTCGTGGGCGCCCAGTGCACCAACTGCGTGCAGGACGACACGGCCAAGGCCAAGATCACCATCGTGGCGGGTGTGCTCTTCCTGCTGGCCGCGCTGCTCACCCTGGTGCCCGTGTCCTGGTCGGCCAACACCATCATCCGGGACTTCTACAACCCGCTGGTGCCCGAAGCGCAGAAGCGCGAGATGGGCGCGGGCCTGTACGTGGGCTGGGCGGCCGCGGCGCTGCAGCTGCTGGGGGGCGCGCTGCTGTGCTGCTCGTGCCCGCCGCGGGACAAGTACGCGCCCACCAAGATCGTCTACTCGGCGCCGCGCTCGGCCGCGCCGCACACGGCCCCCAGCACCTCCTACGACCGCAAGGACTACGTCTGAGCCCCGAGCGCGTTCTCCTCGCCGTCCCCCCCGACGGAGGGCAGCTCTTCGGCTAGACTGGGAGAGGCCGGCCGAGCTCCGGGGGTCCCGACGCCGCGGCCGCGGGAGCGGAACTGGGGAGTCCAGGGACCCACCCTCACGGACAAAGGAGCCTCGCCCTTTCGGATCGCCGAGCCGCGGTGGCCGTGTCGCTCCGGGCGCGCTCTCTCGGCGGCGCGCAGCCTCCCACCCCACCCCCAAACCCTGCCTGGCTTGGGCAGGACCCCGCAGCCTTGCAAAAGGGGCCGCTTCGTGTTTTTCAATAAAAGTCTTTTCGTTTTTGCATTTGCGGGCGCGCTTTCTTGTACCCGGCGCGCGCGGGTGGGCCTCCCACCTCCTTGCAGATAGGCTCTGCGAGAAAGGTGGGTCCGGGCTGCCAGGGGGTCACTTAGAGAAGGACAGAGGTGCAGGCATGTGAGCCGAGGCAGACGGCGTGTCTGCTGCTCCTCGGGGTCTCTCAGACCGGGAAGATCCCGATCCAGGTGGCCAAGGGGCCGCGTAGGCACTGCGGGGCGTTCCAGGGACCCCCTTGCCCAGGCTGTGCAAGGACTGAGCTTGGAGCCGGAACCCTGCAGGGGGTCAGCTCGGCTGTTGGGAAAGACCTCGGCCTTGAGCACCTTTTCATAAAAGGAGAACAAAAACAGATTCACTGTTTTTGGTGAAAACTCAGCATCAAAAGTAGAGGTGGGCAACACGGTTTCCCCTAGAGCAGAGGGGGCGGGTGGGGGCCCAGGAGGGGCCTCATTCCCCATCCCCACCCCACCCTGCCCCAGACCCTCATGGGACACAAAGGAGGGACCAGGTGCAGCAGAGACCCAGGTAAATGTTCCGAGAAAAAGACTGGGAAGGATGGGGAAGGTTGGGGGTGGGAGTGGGCAGGAAGAAAGGGGACAGTGCCCAGGTAGGAGGGAAAGACATGGGGGCTGGGGCATGACTAGCAAGGTGAGGCCCAGTAGAGGCCAGGCCCCCGGGACTCCTAAGAGGAGTCCGCAGGAGTCACACACAGAAGGGACGTCTCTGTTCATGTTCTAAAATAACCTTTTCAGTCCCAAGGTTCTGGCAGGAGATGAAATATGGGAGACTATCGACCACCTTAGAGGCTGTCAGCCATCCCTTCCTGTTCGTGCAGACAGAAATAAACTCCAGCTGCCCTGGCCAGGGCTGTTTTGAAGCCGGATGATGTTAATGTCACCCCGATTTCCCACCCCACCCACACACGTACTTGGGCCACTGATTGGACGAGGGTGCCATTTGCAGGGCGACATCAGGTTGGCTTGCTTCCGGACAAACATCTTTGGGCAAGTCTGTGGGACTTCCCGGTGGAGGCGTGCAGGAACTGGGAGGCAGGTAGGGAACACTGGAACTCACTGGGGTCAACCTGGCTGTTGCTAACATACAGATGACAAGCGAAACCAGGAGAAGGGAATGCATGAGGTCAGTTTCCACAAGGCCTTCATTGGTCCAGGCTGTGGAAGTGGTCAGTCAAGAGGAGGCCCCCCGGGGGCAGCAGCAGGCTAGGGAGCAGGAAGGCGTCACTGGTGCCCGAGCAAGCAGCCTGGGGCTGGGAAAGTCGGTGGACCGAGAACAGGACAAGAGCAAGACCCGGCCGCCTCCAAACCTCGCAAGATGAAGCGAGAGAGGGTTCTGCAGTGACAAGATGGAGAGTCGGGGCTGGGGCTGGCAGCGAGTCCCAATCCTTTGTACCCCAAGCTCTCTTCATCCCCCACCATGTGTGTCCCAACATGAGTGTTCACACCTGAGGCTTGCGCACGCACACACACACACACACACACACACACACACACACACACAGAGCACACTCCAGGCCTTTGAGCATCCTGCTTCCCGGGCTTTTGCCCACAGAAAAGCTGAAACTTGGGTCAGAGAGACAGGGGAGGGTACTTGCCCTGGACCGCCACCAACCAGGGCTCAATCCCTAGGGACACATATGGTTCCCCAGCCCCACACGATGTGATCCCTGAGCACAGAGCCAGGAGTCAGCCCTGAGCACCGTTGGGTGTGACTCCCCGCAAAAAAGAATGTTGGGAGCTGGAGCGATAGCACAGCGGGTAGGGTGTTTGCCTTGCACGTGGCCGACCCGGGTTCGATTCCCAGCATCCCATATGGTCCCCCGAGCAATGCATGAGCCAGGAGTAACCCCTGAGCATCGCCGGGTGTGACCCAAAAAGAAAAAAAAGAAAAAGAAAAAAAGAAATGTAGCTGCTGGGGGCAGCAGGGGTGGCACCCCTAGCCCGGCAATGCTCAGAGGAGACCAGGGAGTGACCCAATACCTGGAGTTTCAAGACCAGGGGCCCCCAGGGATGCCCCAGCAGGACTCAGAGGGGCACTCAATGCGGGGGTGACTCTGCTGAACCCCGAGGCTCCCCCAAACTCAAGGCAGCAGCTTCTGTGGTGTACGGGGGGTCGGGGCTGCGCGGAAGGCCGTGCTGCTCCTCCACTAACGGGGACAGGGACAGGGATGTGACGCTGAGGCTCGGGGTCCATCCTAGGGAGAGTCGGGAAATGTGGCTCAGAAAAAGGGGTGAGGCTTACCAAGGAACAGGGGGCTTTGTGGGCTCACTGGGGGCCACAGAGAGGGGAAGAACAAGATGAGGGGAGTGAGCCTCTGCCCTGTCTGGAGTGGCAGTTGGCGGGTGGGCAGAGGGTCCGGGGATCCCTGCCTCTCCGCCTGGCAGGGATGCAGGGAAGTGGGTGGACCAGGAAAGAAATGAGGGGTCCGGGGTCCTCTGTCCCAGAGCGTTCTCCCACAGCTGCAAGGGGGGCCTGGGGGCTCCCAGACTGGAGAATAGAGCCAGTCCTACCCAGCACCCCAAGTCAGAGGGACATGGCCAAGCAGGGACTAGCAGTCTGGCCTCAGGGGAGGACAGGAAGGGCCCAGACTCACCCCTGATGTGCCCAATCTGGAGATAGGAGGTGCCCCACCAAGCCTGCACCCCAAGATGCACACACATCACTTAGGGGATGCCCAAATGCAGCCTTTTGTGGGGAACCTTACTCTGGGGGCTACTCCAGGGCCAGTGCATCTCTGGGGGGCTCCCAGATGATGCTCTCCGAGGCCCGGGTGGCGTGGGGGGGGGGGGGATCAAACAGGCCATTATTCCAGTCCTTCAGCCACTCCCGTCCCCCTTCAGAGCCTTCTGACCCTTTTTAATGAAGGACCATAGTGAGAGGGTGGTCCATGGGGCAGCTGAGGAGGGGCCCCAAAGGCTTAAAAAAAAACAAAACAAGGTCAGTGTAGCCAGGGGCAGTGTTTGGTGTGAAGCCCCCCAGAGCTAGAGGACCCTCGGACAGCCTCGCTTTCCTAGAACAGGCTTCTCTAAGTTTCGCTTGGGAGGCCCCTTCCCTGCCTCCCAAGAAGTTAATTCTCTTATTTTGGGTCAGAAAGGGTGACCAGGTGGAGAGGTCCCTTTCTGGGGGGGGGGGGGGGGGGCGCTGTGGACTCTAGCAAAGGACAGCGAATCCAAGCACATTGCCCAGCTCTGGGCCATTTTCCCACCTGGGTCAGCTGATGCCCAATGCCACTCTATCCCCCACCTTTGCCTTCGGTGGCGCTGGGGCTCACACCCGGCAGTGTTCAGGGTTTACTCCTGGCTCTGTGCTCAGTGTTCACCCTTAGAGGTCCTTGGGGGATCTTATGGCGTGCAGGGAATCGAATCTCAAATCTGGGTCAGCCAAGCAGTCACCTCAGTCACCTCACCTGCTGCCCTGTGTCCGGTCACTCTATTTCCTAATTTACTTAATTCATTTTACTGTTTTGGGGGAGAGGGTGCTGGGCCACACCCAGCAGTGCTCAAAGGCTACTTACTCCTAGCGCTGAGCTCAGAAACCACTCGGCGGGGCTCGGAAGAGAATGTGTGGTCTGGGAGCAAACTGGAGGCACCGAGGCAAGTGGTGCTCTAGGCCCTGTTTGCTCGCTACACTGCTACACTTCATTTCATGTTTGCAAAGTTAGGGATCAGGGGTCAGAGCATTAGTACGGCACATCGGTGCTTGCCTTGCTCATAGACAACCCAGCTTTTTAAATTTAATTTAAATTTTAAAAATTGGGGGGCTCTTTGGGTCATGCCTGGCAATACAATACTCCTGGCTCTGCACTGAGGAATCACTCCTGGTGGTGCTCACGGGACCATATGGGATGCCAGGGATCAAACCCAGTTTGGCCGCATGCCAGGCAAACACACTCCCCGCTGAACTATCACTCCCAGCCCTGATAACTCGGATTTGATCCCCCCAACGCCCTATATGGTTCCCCCAAGTTCCACCAGGAGTGACACCTGAGTGCGGAGCCAGCAGTAAGCCCTGAGTACAGCCAAGTGTACAAGACCGTCCAAAATTTAAAAAAGACCAAAGTTAGGGATCAAACTCAGTGTCTCCCAGAAGGCAGAGGCTCTAGCATTGAGCTAATCCCCACCTGCACTTTTTTTTACTTTTTTCTTTTTTTTCTTTCTTTAAAAAAAAACAAACTGTTCACCCAGCAGTGGGCTCAGGGGTTCCTCCTGACTGGGTACTCAGGAATTACTCCTGGCGGTGCTCGGGGACCATATGGGATGCCAGGGATCGAACTGCATGCAAGGCAAACAACGTCCCTGCTGTACGATCACTCTGGCCCCAGCACCCCCAGTTTTATCCTGATGATCCCTCCCTACAGAAAACAATTGAAACCAAACTGAGCGATTGGAGTAGTAGGGTGATTCATTCCACTGAGTCTCAGTTTCCTCATCTGCAAAATGGGTTATGATCACAGCCCATGGCTGCGTGGAGGATGAGGGGAGATCCCTGGGGAGGGGAGGTCCCCATGCAGCCCGTTAGCCCCCTTCTCAGCACCAGCTCTACCATCTGAAGTGGCTGCTTGATTTTTTTCTCTGACTTCCCCACCAGAAGTTCAGGGGCTCGGTCAGGGGCAGCCCTGGGTTCACACACCCTGTGTGGGCCACACCCGTCTGTGGCACATGGGCGTGTCAGCACGCAAGGAAAGCACCCAGTACAGTCTAGGTGCCGTGTGCCCTGGATGGATGGGGGTTGGCGCGATTGGTGAAT